CTTAATATTCCAAACAGCAAATCTAAGTAGAATTCAGGTTTCTTAGTATTCTTTTGTTAGACCTGAGGACATATATTCAAAGTACTTCCTTCAGAAGTTATTTAGATTAGGTTGGGTTTTTTTTTTAAATAACTCTGTTTGTGGTTGTACTATTCATTTGAAAGTCAAAATTATACCAGAAAAAGTATACTGAGATAAGTGTCACCATTACTTGTTATCTGCCTGAAAGTAAGGACATATGTAAAAATATTTTTACCCTGGCTGGCGTAGCTCAGTGGATTGAGTGCGGGCTGCGAACCAAAGTGTCGCAGGTTCGATTCCCAGTCAGGGCACATGCCTGGGTTGCAGGCCACAGCCCCCAGGAACCACACATTGGTGTTTCTCTCTCTCTCTCTTCCCTCTCTAAAAATAAATAAAATCTTAAAATATATATATTTTTAAATTGTAGATACTTTATATATTATTTTGCACTTCTTAATATGTCTCAGGAATCATTCCATATTAGTCAGTTTATACAGAACTTTCTTATTCTTTTCTCTCTTTTTAAAAGCAATAGCTACATAGTATTCCATTATGTGTTTTGTGTCATAATTGATTCAAATATATTTCTCCATGTTTTGGCATTTAGATTGTTTTTTTAATAATTTGCTGTTATAAATAACAGTGCATGTATTTTATATTGTTGGAAGAAGTGTTACTTCAAGGTAAATTCCTAAGGGTGAGATAGCTGAATCGAAGTGAAAATGCTGTGTAGTTTCGTTAGATACTGCCGAATTCCCGTTGGAGAGCTATTGCCACTTTGCGTCCTACCCGGCAGTGGAGGAGAGCCTCCCCAGCCTCAGCAGGGGAGTGTACTAGAAAGCAGTTGAATTTTGTAGTTATTATAGATGAGAAGTGGTATTTCAGAGTAATTTTAATTTATTTTTTTAAATTACATTTTATTGATCATGCTATTACAGTTGCCCCAGTTTTCACCCCTTGGCCTCTCCACCGAGTACCCCCCAACTCCCTCAGGCAGTCCCCACACCATTGTTCATGTCCATGGGTCATGCGTGTAGGCTCTTTGGCTACTCCATTTCCTGTACTGTACTTTACATCCCCGTGACTATTCTGTAACTATTTGTTCTTCTTAATCGCCTCAGCTCTTCACTCTAATTTATTAGTAGTATGGTTTCAGTGCTGAAGTCTTTAAAAGTTCTTCTGTTTTCTACAGAAACAGAAAATCTAAGCCTATGGTATAAAAAGAGACAAGAATTTTATGTGGAATTGTTTTACTCAATTGCTGCATTACTAACAAAAATTATTCTTGGTGAATTAGAGATCTTCGTAAGATGACCTTGAGTTTGGGAAATTGAAATATTTTTCAAGTAAACTCATTTATCCTTTTAAACTGTTGGCCCACATGTAAGTTTCTTATGTCGTTATTTTATAATTTATTGGAAGTTATACATGATTCCTCATTATTGATTTTTCTCTGGACCTTGCCCACAAAAACATCTTAAATTTTCACATAAATTGATAAAAATATTTGTTACAGACTCACCTGATTTTTAACCTCATGGCTGGGGAAACAGAAGCGGGAGAGAGAGAGACAGACAGACAGACATGGAAAGCTAGATCTAGAGATGTTATTTAGCTTCCTTAGACCAGACAGGGCAGAACTCACAGAGTCAGCCTTGGGGTTGCAGCACTGACACTGCTTCACTATGGGGGAAGACGGAAGCTGTATTTGTCAGCACAGAGTAACCTTTGTAAGGCACCTACCGTATTTTTCGGACTATGAGTTGTACTCCCCCCACCCCCCACATTTGGGAGGAATAATGGTTGTTAATGCTGCTGTTGAGTTCTGTTTACATTTACATTGGTGGAATATTATGTTATTTATGCTATTAAATATTTTGCCACATTTTTTGCTTCAAAATTTTTTCCTGTTTTCCTCCTCTTAAACCTAGGTGCGTGTTATGGTCTGAAAAATACGGTGTTTGGCTTGGAGATGAAGTATTTATTGCCTTTTAAAAAGTTGTACGGTTGTGTACTTTTACATTTTCTTTACACATTCCAACATTATTGTGGCCTTCCCCCTGCCTCTTACTGTTTTTTCCCTAAAATCCAAATGTGATGAGTTTTGTTCTGGTAAAAGAAATAGGGTGACTTAGTAATTATAAAAAATACAAGGTAGATAAATTCACGTTCACAGAAAGAAAGCATTTTATACATTAGAGGTATAAAATAGATTTTTAAATATTTATTTTAACAGACTTATTTGACAGTAACTCTTTTTATTTTCCCATTTTCCCAAAGTTGCCTCCTGAAGTTGGTATTTGCTTAGAGCAGTTCAGGGGGATGGTTGGAAATATTTTAAATATATTTCTGAAGAAGCAGGGCCAGCCGACTACTTGTTGGCAGTCAGGTCTCCAAAACTGATACTTGTTGTTTAACAGTGGAGTGTGACAGGGGTGCATCGTTGTGGAAGGGTGTGAAAGACTTAAAGTAAATCTTTTTCAGCTTAGGAAAAAAGTGTGTGAGATTTTCGTAGTTTTTTTCTTTCTTGAGATTCCACAACTTTCTTGAATATGTAAGTTTGTCTTTTACGAAATCTGGATACTTTTCAGTCTCTGTTTCTTGAAGTATGTTCTGCCTCATTGCCCCAGTCTCTCTGTCCTCCCCTTCTGAGATTCTGACTATCCTACGATGCTGTCTCCAAGGTGCCCAAGACAGCCCATTCTTAAGGCCTTTTTATTTGAATTGTTTATTTGTATGGATATATTCTCAAGTTCATAGGATCTTTCCTTGTCATTTTCTTTTTCTTTTTCATTTTCATTTTTCTCTGAAGCACATCCAGTTCTAGAATTCCTTTTTATTCTTTAAAAAATATATAGGTAGGTGATTGACTCACTTCCTTTGCTGAGACTCCTGTTTATTCATTCATTGGGAACCTTGAGCGTATCTGTAATAGTTTAAGATCTTTGCCTGCTCATTTCCGCTAATTTCAATATCTCGGTAATCTTTGGGTGGATAATGAGTAACTAATCCTAGGAATCAAACCCATTTTGTGGGTGTCTTGAAGATAAGGGAGGCAAAGATCAGTTAGGTTGATAGGGGCACTTAATGAGATCGCTTCAGTTACACCTGTTGGCCTGTTTCAGGTCCTTTCTCAGGGGTGGACAGCTCTGGGTTGATAGTGATGTCAGATTAGATGAGTCGCAATCGGAAGAGTGAGAGGCCGCCCACAGGTCCGCCCTGATATAGCAAGTAGACCAGTGGGATAGTGAGAAGCTCCTGGCCGTGCTTCTTGAAAGTGTGTGCGTAGAAAATGGTTTTGAACTAAATAATTATCAGTAAGACGATAATTTTTCTTGAGGGATCAAGTTGCTTGTATCATGTAGTAGATTGAAGGACCTATAATCATTAAGAATCATAGGAATAAATAACCAGTCATTTATTCTTCTCAGGAACATGTCTTCAAAGAACTTTCGTTTTTTGGGGGGTTTTTTTGGGTGAATAATACTAATAATAATGGTTTCTCTTATTTCTAAAGTTGTTCACAGTTCATTTTGTTCTTGATCAATTGTTTTCATCTAACTTGATCACTGAAATTTAAGTTATATTGTCAGGTTTAGTTAAGAACATCCATACTATCTCATATTTGAAAGAATGCTAAGTTGTGAAAAGATTCTGGCCAAATAACTAAAATTTTGAGGTAACCATTTTTATTAAAGTGAATATAGATTCATTCACATGAAACAAATTTTAAAATTTGCATTAAAATGTTTTTTCTTGTGAATTTATAAATATAAAAGAGTGCATAAAACTTTACAGTTCAGAGGACAATACAATTAACATCCCTGTACCATTTACTCCGGCTTAGAAGCTAACGGCATCTTGGAAACCCCTGTGTGTCTGTCTCTTTTCTCTCAGGAATAAGTCACCACCACGAAACTTGCTTGCTTTTCTTTACAGTGTTACCATCTTTATAAATATTCCTATAGAATATGTTGTTTATTTTTTGCTTGTTTTTAAACTTTATGTAAAATGAAATCACACTGTGTATTTCTGTGACTTCTTTTCCAAGTATTTTTCTTTTTTGAGATTTTTCCATGTTGATGGAATGACTGAACCACAGTTTACTCATCTTCATTAAATGGAGATTTATTCCCAGGCTTTCATGATTATGGATCATGTTGAATAATACATGTCTTCTGGTTGCCATATGCAAGAGTTTCTCTAGATGCTGTTATGTATCTATGATGGAATGAGTCTCCGGGTTGCAGTGTATGTACACGTTCAAGTGAAATAGGTGGATGGCAGACTCAGTACAGTGGTTGCATTAATTTACATTCTCAGTGGCAGTTATTCTTGCCAACACCTGGTATTATTGACTTTAAAATTTTTGCTAATTAGAAGGGTGCGAAATTGTATGTCATTGTGGTTTTTGGTGCATTTCTGCGATTGCTGGAGAGTTTGGACATCTTCTGCTGTGTGTATCGGCCGTTTGTGTGGTCTCCTCTGTGAATGCCTGTCTTGCGAGTGCAAGTAACCACCACTGTGTTTTGTGTGGTGTGGACTCCTGCTGCATGCGAGTGTGAACGAATTGTTGATTCATTGGTAGGGATTGCTGAAGCGCTCTCTGGTGCCATGAAATTTGCTTTTACTTCTCGGACTTTTGTATTAAAATATGTATCTAGCAGTGAGAGTTAGAATACACAGAATGTTTAACATGAGAATAAATTGGTCTCATTTGTTATTTTGCATTATTTCATGTTATTTGGTGTTTAAAGATATTTTCTTCCCTAAAATGTAATTCATATATAAGACATGAAGGAGATATGTTGTACTATGGAAATTAAATCCATTCTCAATATAGTTTGATGAAATTATCAAATACTGTGACTTTATTCTTAATCATAACTCGAATTCTTATTGTTTAAGAAGTACCATTATTTATGTTGATTGGCATCACACTTCATTAAGAAAGTAATTGGTGTTGCTTTTTGTTTCAGCTAAACCATTTACTTCTAAAGTGAAACAGATGCGGTTACATAGAGAAGACTTTGAAATATTAAAGGTGATTGGCCGAGGAGCTTTTGGAGAGGTAAGAGACAAAGAATTAATAGGAGGTCTGCTAATTGTTTTGGAAGCTATTTTATATAGTCTGAAAAAATTTAACTGAAATATTTACTTCCTGATGTAATTGATACGATTGATCAGCAGATATATTAAAACTCCGAATGAAATACTTCTACATGGAATCTCTTCCCCCAAGGTACTTCTGTTCGTTACGTGTCACTGAGAGTTTGACTTTGTGTCTGCGCGCGCGCTTCTGTTTCGCGGGTCTGTCCGTCCCTCCTTGTGCCAGCATGGCACTGCCGGAAATCCTTCCCCTCTGAGTCTTGGATCTGGGGGTATGTGCACTCCAGCCTCTCCCCTCTCTTCCTCAGTCATAGGCCCTTCATGTTTCCGTGTAATTTTAGAAACAGTGTTTCTGTTTCTGCTTGCTCTTACAAACCCACACTCATACACCCACACGTCTGTTGGAATTTTGACTAGGATCGCACCGAAACTAGAATAATTTTGTAGGTAATCAACATCTTAACAATGTGGAGTCAGCCAATTTATGGACATGGTATATTCCTCCATTTATTTAGGGCTTTATAAATTTATCTCACTGATGTTTGATAGTTTTCGTTTAGTGGAGAGGACTTCTGTGTCTTCCAGCAGATTTAGTCCCTGTATGCACTGTTCTTCGTTATTTTAATTAGAATAGCAGAAATAATTAAAATGACATATTTTTTCTTTTGCTCAAAATACAGTGTGGTTTTAAATTTGATATATGATTTTTTTTTATCTTTAGAAGTTTATTGCTCAATTTCTAACTATTTGGAGGGTTTTCTACTTATGTTTGTTCCTGAGTTATAATTCCAGAACAGCCAGAGAACATAAATTGTGTGATTTCAGTCCTTTGAAACTTGCTGTGCAGTATTCTATAAATATCATTTAGGTCAGGTTCATTAATCTTGTTTAAATCTTCTACATTCTTACCTTTTGTTTTCCCTGCTTGATCTGTCATTTTCTGGGAAAGGATTTATTTATTTTTTATTTTAAGTTTTCACTGATAACAAGTACAGAGTTATTATATCTTTCTCTTTTATCATAGTGGAATGATCCTTGTTATCTCTAAATACGGTTTTTCAGTGAAATTTTTCTTAATCTGATGTAGTAGAATGATTTTAGCTCTTGTTGTGTTAGTATCTGCATCCTTTCGGTTTCAGCTTTCTGTGACCTTACACGGTATGTTGACTGTTGTTAGAATGTGGTTAGTGTGACTCTTTTTTAGGTTATGGAAGTCTTCCTTCTATTCCTGTTCTGTTGAGAGCTTTTATTGTGCATACGAGGTAACTTTATCGAAAGCTTTTTTAGCTCTATTTTGATGATATAATTCAATGTCTGTATTAATGTGAGAATCACTAATTTTTAGTGTGAGAATCGCACTAACTTTGAAGTATACCAATATTGCATCATTACACAAGTCTCACTGTTCGTGACACATCCTTTAAGTATATAGCTGGGCTTGAGCCGTATATAGCTGGGCTTGATCTGTCATTTTGTTATGATTGTTTTGTTTATGTGTATGAGCAGGACTGGCCTTTAATTGGCTTGTCTTCTAATTTCTTCATACTTGTGACTGATACGCTGAGCTTATAGGGCAACTTGGGAAGTGTTTCTGCTTTCTTAATTTTCTGTAAGAATTTGTGTAAGGTTGGTATTATTTCTTTCTTTAAATGCCTGGAAGATTTCACTAGTGAAGCTATCTACACTAAGAGCACAATTTTTTTATTTGTTTACATCTTTTGAGTTAAATTTTATATATGTTGAAATACACTAGTTGTGTATGTACACTTCAGTGAGTTTTGAGAAGTGAATTCACCTTTATCAAGATAGAGAATATTTACACCATCCTAGGAAATTTCCTTCCCTGGCAGTTCCATGTAATTTCCATCGAGTGGACACTGTCAGAAACATTTCGTATGAATGGAATTATACTGTACACTCTTTTGTGTCCAGCTCTTTTCACTCAGATCAATGTGTATAAGATTCACCCTTGTGAGTGAACGTGTTAGTGCTTTTTATTGCTGAGCAGTGTATTATTTCATTAATATATAACAACTTATTCATTCTGTTGATGAATATTTGGGTTATTTCTGCTTTTTTGGCTGTTAGAAATAACACTGATGTGAATATTCTTGTAAGCATTTTTATGGAAATTGTCTCCATTTTCCTTGGGTAAATACCTAGGGATGGAGCTGCTGTGCTAAATGGAAGGTCATGTTTAAATTTAAAAGGAACTGGCAGACCTCCAGTGGGTCTGTACCATTCTACTTCCTACCAGTGCCACATTCTCACCAATATTTTTTGTTGTAATTTTAGCTATTCTAGCAGGTGTGTGATAGAATCTCATAGTCTTAAATTGCATTGTTATTTAAATTTATATATATAGCAACATAATGATTCACCATTCTTATATATTCCTTTGTGAAGTGTATGTTCAGATATTTTGCTCATTTTTAAAAATTGGGTTATTTTTTATTATTGAGTTGTAAGAGGTTTCTATATTTATAAATGTCTTTTGTCAGATATGTTTTGTTCATATTTTCTCACAATCTATGTGGCAGCCTGTTAATTTTCTTGAAAATATCTTAACCAGAAGTCTTCAATTTTCATGGTATAATTTTATGAAATATTTTTCTCTTATGTTTATTATTTGCTTCCCCACCCCCCACCCCCTGAAATCCTTATTTATATTCAGGCCACAGAGGTATCTGTCTATTTATTTTTATTTTCTAAAAGATTTTATTTATTTATTTTTATAGAGATAAGTAGGGAGGGTGAAAGAGAGGGAAAGAAACATCAATGTGAGAGAGAAACAGCAATGGGTTGCCTCTCAAACACGCACTGACCAGGGATTAAACCTGCAACCCAGGCATGTGCGTGACCAGGAACTGAACTGCTGACCTTTAGCTTTTCCAGGAAGACACCCAACTAGCTGAGCCATACGGGTCAGGGCTCACCTACTTTTTTTTTTTAAAGCTTTATAGTTTTAGCTCTTATGTTCAGGTTGGTGATCCATTGCAAATTCATTTATGATGTGAGATGGGGATTAAGGTTCATTTTTAAAAATAATGTGGATATCCATGGTTTCAGCAGCATTTATTGAAAAAGCTATTTTCCCTTATTAAATTATGTGAGCATCTTTGTAAAAAAAAATCAATTGACTCTGAGAGTGTTGATGTATTTCAGAGTGGAGAGTAAGTAATGAAGTGTGAGGACAAGTCCTCCTGTGTTCTTTTTCACATTGTTTTAGCTATTCTAGGACTTGTGCATTATTGTATAAGTTTGAGAATTAGTGCATCAGTTTCTATAAAAGCCTGTTAGTATTGAAATTGAATTGGCATTACATTTATCAGTCAGTTTAGGGAGGTCTGTCAGCTTAATAATGTTGAATGTACTTGTTAGTCCATGATATTTGTCTTTGTTTTTTAAGGTCTGTTTTAACTTTTCTTAAGACTGTCTTGTTGTTTTAGTGTACAGGTCTTGTTCACATTTTGTTAAATTTATTTTTAAGTGTTTTGTTTTTTATGCTATGGTAAATGATACTTAAAACAATTTTATATTCATACCGTATGCTGCTAATATGTAGATACAGCACTGTTTACTTTATGTCCTAAATTTATTATAAGTAGTTTTATGTTGTTTTGAGTGCTACTTTGTTTTTCTAAGTAAACAATCATATTGTATATTGTTTGAGAACAGGGACAGTTTAGTTTCCTTTCACTGTTAAGACTTTATACCTTTTATTTCTTTATCTCATTGCATTAGTTTGGACCTCTAATACAGTGTTGAATAGGTGTCATAAGGGTAGACATCCTTACCTTTTTCTTGAATTTTGGAAGAAAGGATTTAATGTTTCACTATTAAGTATATTATTGATTGAATAAATTTCTTCTGTTACTTCTTTGCTGAGAACTTAAAACAATTAGTTATTAACAGGTACTGAATTTTTGTTACATGTTTTTTTCTGCATCTCTTGAAATAATCATACTTTTACTCTTTTATTCTGTTAATATGGTGGGTGACCTTGATTGAACTTTTTTAGTAGTCTTTCTTTCCCTCCCCTCTCCCCTTTTTCTCCCCTCCCCCCTCCCTTCCCTCCCTAGTGAGCATTTAATGAACTTCTCTCCATGTGGCTTCAAGCTACCAGGACACAAGCCCCCACCAGCACCTTTAATTTTCCCCCTCAGCTCTTCTGCTGAAGACTTTGACCTTCACAATGACAGGCTGCTTTAGGAGCATTCTCTCCCTAGAACTTTGTGGTGGCCACATTAGTGATGGGAGCGGCTCCTGTCTTGTTTTTGTTAGTATTTACCCATGTCTGCTCACCGGCCAAGGTCCACATTTTATCAAAGTTGACAGTGGGGCAGAAGCTCTGGTTCCTCTTTGAGTGGTGATACCTCACACCCCCTTTCCCAAAGTAACCTGGGGGATATTTGTTGACATTGGTCCAAGGAAGTTGATGATGCGAGCCACCAGCATTCCTGGGCCTTCTGGGGGCTTCTCGTGCACGGCCATGGTCATGGCCACGGTCCATGTCACACAGAAGTGTCTGGTCTTCCTCAGTCTGGGTGGCATATCTATCGATGGCTGAGATGCAAGAGCAGTAGATTTTATTTTTTAAAGCAGTTTCAGGCTCATAGCAAAAATGATCAGAAAGTCCAGAGTTCCCATGTCCTTCCTGCCCTCGCATGTGGCCATTAAACAGGTGTGTAGTGGGATTTCATGGGTGTTTTAAGTTGCAGCTTTCTAATGGTTGGTGACACTGAGAATCTTTTCAGATGCTATTTGCCATCTGTTAGTCTTCATTGATGAAGGTGTCTGTTAAGATATTTGATTCTTTTTTAAAGAGGTTTGTTTTTCAATTGAGTTTTAAGAGTTCTTTATTTTGGATAACAGTCCTTTATCAGATGTACCTTTCATGTAATTGGTAAGTTAGGATTGATTAAAATTCTAGCTTATCAGACAGGGTACTGTGATTCTTCA